AAGTGAGTGCAATAGCTTCAAAAGCAGACTCACCAACAGGAGCAGGACCACGAGGTGTACTGGTTCCTTGAGGAACAAAGGGAAGCCGAAAGGATCCTGTTCAGAGAAAGCAAATTTGCTTCAGAGACAGTAATTTTAAAAAGGAAGGAAAGGCATGGAAAATAAAAGATTATGATAGGAAGGAAAGGCTATATTAGTCCCAGAGACAGTATAGGTTCTGTAGGGAGACGTACCGGAGGATACGTCACTTGCAGACACAGTGTGGGTTCTGTAGGGTGACACACTGGAGGGTACATCACTTTCAGACATAGTATAGGTCCTGAATGGTGTCACACTGGAGGGTACATCACTTTCAGACACAGTATAGGTTTTGTAGGGTGTCACATTGGAGGGTACATCATTGCCAGACACAGTATAGGTCCTGTAGAGCTTCATACTGGAGGGTACATCACTTTCAGACAGAGTATAGGTCCTGAAGGGTGACACACTTGAGGGTACATCACTGTCAGACACAGTGTAGGTCCTGAAGGGTGTCACACTGGAGGGTACATCACTTTCAGACACAGTATAGGTCCTGAAGGGTGTCACACTGGAGGGTACATCATTGCCAGACACAGTATAGGTCCTGTAGGGCTTCATACTGGAGGGTACATCACTTTCAGACAGAGTATAGGTCCTGAAGGGTGACACACTGGAGGGTACATCACTGTCAGACACAGTGTAGGTCCTGAAGGGTGACACACTGGAAGGCACATCACTTTCAGACACAGTATAGGTCATGAAGGGTGACACACTGGAGGGTACATCACTTTCAGACACAGTATAAGTTTTGTAGGGTGTCACAATGGAGGGTACATCACTGCCAGACACAATATAGGTCCTGTAGGGTTTCATACTGGAGGGTACATCACTTTCAGACACAGTATAGGTCCTGAAGGGTGTCACACTGGAAGGCACATCACTGCCAGATACAGTATATGTCCTGAAGGGTGTCACACTGGAAGGCACATCACTTTCAGACACAGTATAGGTCATGAAGGGTGACACACTGGAGGGTACATCATTGCCAGACACAGTATAGGTTCTGTGGGGTGTCACACTGGAGGTTGTGTCAGTTCCAGACATAGTATAGGTTCTGTGTGGTGTCACACTGGATGTTGTGCCAGTTCCAGACATAGTATAGGTTCTGTAGGGTGACACACTCAACGTTGTGTCAGTTCCAGACACAGCAGAGGTTCCGTAGGGTGTCACACTGGAGGTTGTGCCAGTTCCAGACACAGTATATGTTCTGTATGGTGTCACACTGGATCTGGTGTCAGTTTCAGACACAGTAGAGGTTCTGTAGGGTGTCACACTGGAGCTTGTGTTGGTTCTAGAATCAATGTAGGTTCTGTGTCCCGGCTCTCCCCAGCTTGCT